CCCCGCAGCAGTGTACCTCATTGATCTGTCTGTTCTGCTCCCCACTCTCTCTCTGGTGAATCCTCTCACCCCCTGCACCTCTGTCCTTTACCCCAGTTCTTACATGGATAAATAAACATATCTTGTTAAAAATATCCTTTTTTTTCTTGTAAATGCTTTTGTCCATTAGGAGAAAATCTGTATTGTTCAAAAATCAAGAAAAGTAATCTGAAAGCTATCACCCAAATAGTAAACCTTGGTAATATGAATGAGCTCTATGAAATCTGTAAAAATAAGGAGAATCTATTTTTTTAAGTTTATTTGAGATCATAAATGACAGAATATTTTCACATTCATTCCACAAGTTAAATAAAATGATGACATAAACTCTAAACACAAAAATCCCAGAGAAGATTCTCCCTTATGAAAATAAAAATTTTGAGAAATATTAAGAAATGAAATCCAATTCTATATTAATGTCATAAATAAAAATGATTGATATCTACATGGAAGACATCTTTGTATAATTCATCACATTAGCATCTGTGATGATGAAGAAGAATACGAGTTAAAATAGTTTATGAAATGTACCACATACAAAAATCTTCTGAATTTAAAGTGACAGTATTAGTTACCTATAATAATATTACATTTAATGAAGAAATATTAGGCATAATCTCTTTAAATAAGGGGAACAAAGCCAAATCACCTTTCTCATTACTCTTATCTAGTATTTTACTAGAGGTCCTAGCCAATTTTAGAAGACTATAAACAATATATATTAGGCAAGAAGCAGCTAGATGCCATGATTTTGAATTAGTTGTTGATTAGAAGTAACAACTGCAGTAGGATTCCTAATAACAATACCTTGTACTAACAATAATACATTTCCAAAGACTAACAAACGTTTAAAGATATGTGAGAAGAAAATTATAAAGTACAGCTAACACTGGGAAAAGAAGACTAATATTAACTGAGAGACACACTAACATCAGTACCGAACATGTACATAACCTTGTGAGCACTTCCTCTGGCAACAGGGCAATCTATTTTATGTCTTGTAAATATCAAAGGGAACCTTGAAATGTGATAACTTTTTCCATATTTTTTTTTAACATACACTGGAAGTTTAAGGTGTGGTTATATTTTTTTTTTTTTTAATTATTATATAACTCACTAAAGAATGTTTCCTTAAACGTATTTAAATTAGTGTGCTTTCTGTTTTACACCTCTTTAATCTGTCTGCTTTCCTTTTGGGTTGTAAAACATTTTTTTATTGAGTCATAATTTATATTTGCATAATAAGTAAATGTGTCAAATAGTTCTTCTCTCTGTTGTTATTCTTTTGCTTTTCTGTTGGCTGTATTCATTTGTTTTACATAACAAGCATTTGCAATTTTATGTAATCAAATTTCTGTTTTCATGTTATTGCTTACTGGGTTTTTGGTTATGCTTAAAAATGTATTCTGACTACAAATTTAATGCACATTTTTAAAAGATTCTATATCTATGATTTAAATGTTTAATATATCCAAAAAGCATTCTGATTTGATAAGTGAGATATTAAGTTTAAGTCAGAGTTATGCTGATTTCTAGGAGATTTCTTTTCTAACTTCCATACAATTTATGTAACCTCAGAATTCTTGGTTGTTAGACTTGATCAATGTAAAGCTCTCAGGCTGATTTTTTTTTTAAATTTCATTTGTGAGTATTAGCACTTCTAATGTATTTTTATCTTTTCTGTATTTAATAAGAAAATTCATATTTTTTACTGAAAATCATCATTTTCTTCCAATTTTCAAATATACATGCTCATAATTATCAATAGATTTTTATTGTTTCCCTTGGAATATGCAGTTAATACTCCAGAGGCAACTCAAAATGTTTTTCTGGATTAGTTTTCATTTTTCTCTTCTATTTGATCAATTTCTTTCATATTAATATTTTCTATCTTTCTTAATATATAAAGGGCTTTGATAGGTCTCTTTTGTTCTTTTGCTTAGATGTTTTTGTAAGTCAAATGTTTAGATCATATTTACTAACATATTTACTAACCTGTAAATATTTTATAACTAATTCCCCAGCTTTTGTTACTGCAATCAATAGGCTAATTTGTTTGAAATTACAGATTTGAAAAGGTTCATCAGCAAAAATAAGGAATTATAGGCCTCTTTGGTAACACAGGAGTTAAAGTCTCAGCATTAGCATGCTAACTCAGCCACTACTGCATGAGTTGGATCCCAGCCAGGGAACTAATCCACATGGCACAGCGACCTCTCCTGTCTCGTCTGCTGCTCTGCTTGCCAGTGGATTTCAGTAGATCCACCTGTTCTACTCCCTGTCTCTGGTGAATCCTCTCACTCTACACTTCTTGCCTACATCCCAGGTCTTTTATGCATAAATAAATAAAAACAAATCTTTTTTAAAAAGGAATTACAAATTACAATTCTTATTTTCCTTTATTTGAAAAAAATGTAACTATGTCTTTTACAAATTCCTTCTGCTAGCCACTCTTGGTCAAGTGCAGGAGCAAGGACTCTGTTGCCCTGTCTTACGAAATTTAGGAAATAATAGCTTATAATAATAATAATTATAATGCTTATCATTGTTTATTTTGCTTCTGAATCCACTATCCTTTGCTTTTCTATTTCTTTTATCCATTGATAAAAGAATTTTGTTTTGTTTTAACATAGTGAAGCATTTTTTAATAAAATTTTCTGAATTCAAAAAGTCCTTTTGAGTTAATTGATTTGTGACCCAGGATATAAAAGAAGTTTAAATGCCAGTAAGATAACCAAGGAATTGTGATACTGATAAAAATATCACAAACTCACCAGACTGACCTAAACACTCAGAGTACAAACCTACTTAAGTTCTCACCTTATAACTGCAATGCTATATACATTTAACTGATGGTTGTTATTCAAATTCTCTTTGTGGTTTCCATTTACCCTCCCTTAAGATAAGAAGCATTTTCATTTCTTTCTAAGGAAAGAATTCTCCTTCATAATAAAGGATTTTCCATTAAATGTTCAGAAAGAATCTTTTAATACCAAAATATCTAGTGGAGATACAATGTTAATGTAGGCTTGTAGAGAACAGCAGGAAGCAAGGAGACTCACTATGAAATACCTAGAGATGGGGAAATGAAAAATACTAGCAGTCACCTACTGGGTGTAATTCTGATGTTTACACTCATCATGTTCTACTTAAATGATTAATTTATGTATTTTTCTCCCCAACAAACATGTGAGCTTGTCAATGGGATCATGAAAGTAGCTTAATCTTCTATTTATCTCCAGTTTCAAGCTTATTGCATAGCATTTCGAGAACAATCAATAATTTGTTTTAAAGATTTTTTTACTTAGGCATATAAGAGCTGAGGTACAGGCCACAGATGTCGGAGGTTAGAGGATTCACCAGACATAGTGGAGAGCAGAACAGGGGGACCTACTGGAATACTCTCCTAGAGGACGAGAGGGTGAGACAGGAGGGGTCTGCTGTCCCAGGGCACATTGGGGATTGAACTCATGTTGTAGTGGCCATAGATAGCTTGATAGCACTGGGTCTTTAAGGCCTGCAACACCAGGGAGGCCCCTCAATGAATATTTTTAAATAGGATGAAACAGTTTTATAACTTAGGGACATTTTCAATCTTTGTGATCTGTCTCATACTTTATTTTTTATTTAAATGCTTTCTTTACTTCCAGCAATTCTGTAAATGGAAATTTTGGGACATTGTATGTATAGATATAGTAATCATAACCTTCTCTTTTTTTTTTTTTTAGTACAACTCCTTCCCATAAGAAGAACTCCCCATTTATCCTAGGGAACAAAAATAAGTGACAAGAATTTATAGTAGCACTTGGGATTGCTTTTATCCTCTGAAGATAGCTAATCAATAATAATTTAATATAGGATGATAAATGAAGATTGTTTTGCAATAGTCAACAAAAATAAGTAAATTAGCAAAAATTCACAAAGATAAAAATAAAAGGATTCTTGTTGATCTTGATTTATATATTCTATAGTCATCTGAGAACATAACACACTACCAGATCAAATGACATTCTGAGTTAAAGATAATCTCTCTCTACACACATTCTTATGAGGGTCGTTATATAAATATACCTACAGGTCAAACAATTTGTTAAAAAAAATCATATTAAAGATCAGCGGTATTTTTTGAAATAATTTTGACTTAAAGATTTTTAAATTTGACACAGAATCACAATGTGTCTATCTCCATATATAGTTAATTTTTTAAATAGCCTCATATATTTTATTTAATGCTATCTGCTGCCACTGCAGCACGGGTTCATCCCCTGCCCCTAAGCTGACTCACATGGCGTGGCAGACCTCTCCTGACCCGCTCATTGCTCCCCTCAGCAGTGTACCTCAACCATCTGCCCATTCTGCTCCCCACTCTTGTCTCTAGTGAATCCTCTCACCCACTACACCTCTGACCTGTACCCAGTTCTGTATGCATAAATAAAAAAAATCTTTTAAAAAAGTAATTGAATCAGCAATAATTAGTAATTGAACAAAATGATGTGCTACTCATATTTATTTCTGCTTTTAGAGTCTGTCTACCCTCTGAATGTTTTAGATTATCACAAGAGAGCCTGTCTATCAAATTAGGTAATCAAATATCTTCTAAGTTTGCCTAAGTGGAGTTGGAATCTAAAAACAAATAATCAATAACTACAAAAAAAATCTGTTATCTTATCCATGCTAGTTTTTATTTTTGATGACCCTAATGCAAATTTTAGTAAAGATTCCTACTTTTATTAAGAGCAGATGATTTATAAGACATAAATAGTATCAATATACAACATTCCAAAATGAGGACATATTTTCATGATATCAGCAGGCCTTTAATGTTAAATTTTAATACATGCAATTTTGCCCTCCTTCCTCTTTTATACCCTGAATTTAAGCTTATAGATGACTTTTTTTTTTTTTTTATAAAGAAGCACTTGAGGTGGCTGAGTTTTATAGCTCAGGTGTTAATTCCTTACCTTCTTATGCCATGTAGATACAGCCATTGTCCCTTTGGGATAATGGCTCCTTCGCGAAACCAGTTTCTGGTGATTGTACACTCTGAGAAAGGCCCTCAGTGTCCATCACACCTTCATTTCCACCAGCTGGCTGTAATGGAAAGGCAAACAATATTGCTTGCTGGACAAACATATTGCAGAAGGAGAGAGAGAGGGTTAGGGTTAGTATATTCCTTTTAGTCAACCAACCTGGCTTGTCCCCAGGGCTGATTCAATGGTGCCCAAGTGTGTAGGTCTGATTAGACTTTGAGATAGGGGCTAAGGAATTCAACTTGGAAGTGGAGTGACTTCTGCCTTAACCTAGAAAGTGCCTGATTTAGCCATCTCCTCTGACTTTACTCACAAATGAGTCCTAGTTCTCACTGAAATAAAGGTGAATTAGTATAGGGACCTCCCTGATAGTGAAAGGGGATAGTTATTGTCCAAAGCCAAGGTCCACCCAACCACCGCAGCGTGAGTTCGATCCCCATCCCCAGGCATGGCAGACCTCTCCTGTTCTGCCTGCTGCTCCCCTCAGCAGTGTATTTCAGTAGATTCTCCTGTTCTGCTCCCCACTCTGTCTCTGGTGAATCCTCGCACCCCTCCCCCTGCACCTCTGGCCTTTACCACAGTTCTTGTATGCATAAATAAATAAATCTTTTAAAAAAGGTCAATAACTACATAGAAGGTGGGGGTGAAGTTATGGAGGTATCAGAATTGAAGAACATAAACACGAGATGATCCAGACAGAGATGACTTCTCTAGTGGGAGCGGGGGACACCTAGAAGCAAAGTTTCATGATCCTTCTTACAACAGACCCCCTAAATCCTTCCTTTGTCCTTAATAACTATGGTATACTAGGCAAGTTGTGATATGTATGTAACATGTATGTAAATTGTCTGGCTTTGTACCTGGAAGCCAGAAGTATAGTAACTTGGACCTTTCCTAAATATCCAAAGCTAAGAATGACTACAATGTAACATGTTATTACAGTAGCTGAAAAAGAAAGAACCTGTGAGAGACAGCTAAGTGTGTGTGTGTGTGTGTGTGTGTGTGTGTGTTTGAAGAAATGCTGGTCCATCAAGGTCTTCAGAGGTCCCAGTCTCAAGGTGGTTAGAAATGGATTGCTTGTCACTTTATGCCATTTACATTTGCAAATGGTGGCAAATCTAAAAAGGAGGCTAAGAAAACCTAGGGAAAATTCCTAGGAACTTGTTTTGGCACTATTTTAGAAAAGATATGCGCTGACTGATTACCTAAATATTTAGGGCAGGACTTTTTAAAGTGTAACAGGGTGGTCCCTAGGAAAAGGGGAAGTTCCAGGTTCCCTGCCCCACCCAGACGGAGGGTGGAGCTGAGCAGAGAAAAAGAGGAGAAGGAATCTGGGAAGAGAAGGCAGCAGGATGGAGAGCCTGAAGGAGACCTGAGGAAGCCACATGGAACAGCAGGCATGTGAGGAAGAAACCGTGCTTGTTTCTTGGCCCTGGACTGGTGAAGGCAGATGTGGGTGAGAGACCTGTAGGGAGGTGACTGTGGCAGTGTTTATATTGATTTTGATTTTGCTCTTTTCCTCCCAGACTTGTCAGGCCATTTCTGACCCTTTTCTACGGTCCCGGCCAGAAGGTGCTTTCAGGCCTTGCTTTGGACCAATCCCTTTTGGGTGGACTTTTGCCCATGAGGGGATGGGTAACTTCAGGTGTTTGATTTAGATATTATATTCTTTGTCTTCTGTATTGTAGGCTCACTGTATTAAAGCCCCTTTTTGTTAAAGTCTTACATGTTTTGTCTTGATGTGGCGGATGGCAGAACCTATTTAGAGCAGGCAGGTTTGGGGGTTCAGTGGTGCCCCTCTCCCTGTCCTGTAACAAAAGGGATAAAGAAACAAGTATAGAATGCCCCTTATAATTGTTTTTCCATAATAGATATAAACTGTTACTTGAAGTAACAGAAATGACAGAAATGGGATGGGGAATCTGAAGACCTGTAATTTTCAGTTTTGTGAAGGAAGATCTAAGACACAAAACCAAGGTCCAGACTTGGTTCATGGCACCAATGTCCTAATCCACTTACCCCAAACATCCCAATGCACTCTGGGTTTTTTAGCTTTTCCAGTTCCCCACACCGGTTCTCAATAAAGGCAGGACGCAGTCAGTCTCTCAGTCCCCTGTGATCACCTCCCTTGACTTGCAAGGTCTCTAACTGTCCTCCCACACTTTGCCTCCCACTTAATAGTTTCCCTGTATTGTTCCCTGCTATGTTTTGCTCTCAGAAAACTTTCAATTAATCACCACTGAGGTGTTTACTGACAGCCAAGGTGTTAGTTAACTGAAGTGTGGATTCTCTCAGGATTATTTAAATTTTGAAATCAGTTTCTTTGAAGATCCAAAACTCCAGTTATATAAAGAAGCAGAGAGGCAACTTCCCTGTGATTAATAACAACACATCATTACTCTTAGTAGACTTACACACATAAGAAGTTTAGCCTAAGTTTACACTTAGTAGACTACCATGTCCAGAAGTTTAGCCTTGACAATGACACTGGGTTTGGATGAGGGGCAAAGGTGTCAGGGCTCTGCTTGCTAGAAGTGGGATTCGCTGGATCAGACCAGACAGCACAATTGCGGTGTGGAAAGGTTCACTCTGCCTTTTCTGACTCAGAGCACCTCAAACCTGCGGTTGTTGTTAGATCTTACTCTACCTTCTGGACTGTTGGAAACACCATTTAGAGGCTTTTCCCCTAAGGCACATCGCTGCTTTGCTCTTCAACAAGTAGTAGTCCCTGAGGTAGTGCATCTGTGAAGTTGCAGTGAGTTAAATGTGAATAGATTCTGTGCACAAGTCAGGATGCACAGGAAATACATGCGTTCTAGGATAAGCAAGGTATAAAAATAGCGGCTTTCATAAATGTTAGCTTTAGGTGGCAATTAGTATATTCAGATAAAGACTGGACATTAGAGGATGAGGAATGTTGGAGAATCATCCCTCATCAAATATTTTGTATCTTTTTTGAGGTAGGTTATAAGGTTAGGAGGTCATTGTAATTGAACAGTTACTGATTTCTGTGTGTCAGGTGTCTGCTGGAGCATAAAAATCTGAAGTTTTCACTTGAGGTTTAAGTAAAATGAATGAGATTGAGTTATGAGCAAGTTCAAATGCCCTTATGGAACTGAGAGGAAATCACTTCTTTGAATTTTGAGGTGAGGATAGAGTACTAGAGGGTTCTGGAGGGTGGATTGCTTAATGATTATGGGCTCTAAGCAAGAATTGGAATTTACTGCTCTACTTGATGTGCAGTTTTAAGGGGGGCAAAGTAAAGTTCTGTGGCAATAGTACACATCAGTGATTTAAAGTTATCCCACAGGTGTTTCTATCAATCAGGGCTTCTATGAATGGCATCTGTAGATTGACCTCCACCCACCCCACTGTGGTTCATCAGGGTGGACATTAGGGCAATTGAGGACAATATTTTTGTGAGTTAAAAAAGTCATCTTTTCCTTTCATTAAACATATTCCTTCATTTTTAAATCTTATATTAAAAGTTAAAATCAATACTAATTAATAGCCATGTTTGATTTCTATTTTAATAGTCTGAAAAATATTATATAAGACTTAAAGGAGTTTGAATGGAAACAAGAGAGGAGTTGCTGCTATTCAAATGGCTGCTACACTTTTGGAAACCACGTGAAATTTTCAAAGGCGGTAGCTTTGGGAGATGTAGTTTTGCAGGAACTAAGTTCTAGGTGTTCAAAGAGATACATATTGGCATTTTAGCCTCCATAGATCTCCTGAGCCTAATATTAATTTCATGAGTCTTCTAAGTCTGTGGAAGGAACTCTCTTCCTCAGATGTATTCATAGGTCACTAATTACTGTTCTCTTAATTATTTAGACTTTGTGGAAACATACTCACCCTAGGAGTACCAAGTATTTTGTGATGAATACAGGTTTGGAACTCGAAATAAGTGTAAGGTCTTTAAGCATTGCTTCCATTTTGCAGTAAGGGGATATTAAGTCTGACTTACTGGGCTTTTTGATTCAGGTCTAGAATATAAAATATAGTGGCCCATAGCTTTAATAATGGAAAATAATATCCCCCAGTATATGGAAAATTAAAATAGACTCCAACGCCCTACTGGGCAATAATTCTCATTTAAGAAAAAGAGAAAGGGAAAAGAGAAAGGATAACAAACTTCCAGCCTTTCACATCAAAGTTTGCACTGTGTAATAATCCAGACGTTCAGGCAAACACACTTTATATTTTCTTAAATAACGCACACCTCCCTACAACCTAGAGATGGCTTTGCCTTAGGGCGGAGCTCAGTCCGAGAGGGTTATAGGAGACAGAGTCCAGAGGATTCATGACTTGGTGATGCATAAAGTTTTCTTCCCGATCCTATTCCCCACGTCTGACTGGTCAGCTTCGAAATTGCAGAGCAGAGGCAACTAGGAGAAATATAGTACGCCTTGTGCTAAATACATCCAGGAGCAGAGAATGATCTGGCATCTCGAGACCGGGAGAAGCTCTTCTGGAGGGGAGAGGTTAGAAAGCAGATAAGGATTCCTAGCGAGGAGCTTACCGCATCCTCTGCTGTCAGCCCAGCGTCGCCTCCGGAGTCGTCTGCTGCTCGGATCCTGAGAGGAAGGTGGGATAGGAGGAGGTGGAAGAAGGAAAG